GGAACCCGGAGGAGGCCGACCCTGTGCGATATAGTGCAGTGTTTTTCAACCACTGTGCCGCGGCACACTAGTGTGCCGTGACATAGTGTAAGGTGTGCCGTGGGAAAAACACCCGCCTATATGTGTATAGGCACAGAGTTAAAAAATTTTAACATTTTCTAAAGGTGGTGTGCCTCGTGATTTTTTTCATGAAAAAAGTGTGCCTTTGCACAAAAAAGTTGAAAAACACTGCTATAGTGGGTTCTCACTCTATCATATAGTGTTCTAATGCAACTCTTTTCTTGTGACAGTGGATAGTTTGCTGTTGAAATTCAGAATGTGTGGAGTGGTGGTGACTGACCCAGATTGGATCATTTAAGTTTAATTTATTGACTGATGCCTTTGATTTTGTTATTCACTTTGATATCAATTGTATTTCCAGAACATTTCTCATTTCCAACTGTCCTGCTATAGTAAAGTGGGTCTACAAAGGACTTATAAGCGAGGCTTCATTTTGATTCTCTTGGAAATCTTTCCCTAATTGGTTTCTGCCCTCTTTTCTCAGATGGATGGAAGCATGTTTGAATGAAGAACTGCCCCCCACAACAGAACTGGAAGAAGGGCTTAGGAATGGGGTCCACTTGGCTAAACTTGGAAACTTCTTCTCCCCCAAAGTGGTGTCTCTCAAAAAAATTTATGATCGTGAGCAAACTAGATACAAGGTAAGTGAACGTTTCCTGTTCTGGTGGATAAGGAAGTTTTAGTTTTAAAAAAAGATTTAAGAAACAATGCATAGATGAGAAAAATGCCATCGTTGCTACTTGAGGGATGGTGTCAATCATCAAGCCTTAACTAAAATGGTGCATCAAATGAGGTCAGTTAAGAAGCTTTTGCTATCTGCTCCGATCCCATAAAGCCTTCTGGAAAAAAAGGGTCTAGGCCCTATGGGCTACAGTGCTCCTCTCTTACATAGAAAGGCTTCCATGGGCACCTCATTTCTTGATCAGTGAAGCTGTTGGTTAGGTTGTCCTGGAGCTGCAGTGCTTGTCTGATTTTTGCATTTTTTTTTCTCCCTCTGTGTTTCAGGCCACAGGCCTCCACTTCCGTCATACGGACAATGTAATTCAGTGGCTGAATGCAATGGCTGAAATTGGCCTTCCTAAGGTAGGTTGGCTGGAATGAAAGCCTCTTGGAATGGGGGAGTGGGATGAAAGCTCCTCTGATCTCTCCAGGGTTGAAAGCTTTCCTTTTTCTGAAACCATAAAAAAAAAAATCCTCCAACCCAGTGCAGTTTTTGATTCTAAAGACTTTCTAGATTTAACTTCATATGAGCAAGAATTATTTGTAGCTGACCCTTTTCTCTTTGCTGTTCTGTACAGTGCAGCACATCCCTAAAAATTGCTGAGGGTAAGCTAACAAGCTTACCTCTGTAGTTAGTTGATTAGAAGCCTCCATTTCAGTTTCTGCCTGAAATTGTTTGACACTAAAGGCTTTTGCTTGCTTCCTAATTCCCAGTCAGCTAGGCAAATAGTTGTTGATAGCATGTTCCTTTCAGTGTGTATTTTCTATTGTATGTCAGTTTAGTCTCTTGTAATTCCTTCCTCTCTAATGAATGTAAATAAAAACATACATTCTCTTCTTGCTAATTATCCCAATACTGGGGTAAGTATTCCAAAGGGCAGAGAGTGAGGAACAAGTGTTAAAGAGACTTGTTGGCCAAGCTGGGGGAAGGAGTCTGGAATCTCTTTGTGGGTACAGGAACACAAAGTCCAATACCAGTTGAATGTTGTTGAACCTTATCTAGTTTTACCCAGGTGCAAACCATTAAGTTTGAGAAGATTCCTATATGGATTGAATTGAACAATAAAGCAGTAAATAGGAACTTTTACCTGATTGTTTGCACCTGACATTTACCCTTAAACCATCAGTCTGAGAATATTCCTGTGTATAAATTTGAGCAAAAAAAACAGCTAATTGAACTCTTTTAGTCCAACCCCCTTCCCAAGGCAGTAGTCCTTACCCAATCCTAGAAATGGTTGTCCAATCTTTTCTTGAAAACCTTCAGCAATGGAGCACCCACAATTTCGGGAGGCAAGCCATGCCATTGGTTGATTGTTCTCACTGTCAGAAAATTTCTCCTTAGTTCTAAGTTGCTTCTCTCCTTGATTAGTTTCCATCCATTGCCTTGTCTTGCTTTCCCTTCTGATTCTTTGGAAAATAGATTGACCCCCCCTTCTTCGCGGCAGCCCCTCAAATATTGGAAGACTGCTATCATGTCACCGCTAGTCCTTTTCTCAAGACTAGCCATATTCACTTCCTGCAGGCATTCTTAATCAGAATGCCTAATCATCTTTGTTGCTCTTTTCTGCACTCTTTCCAGAGTCTCAATATCTTTTTTATTTTATGGTGACCAAAACTGGATGCCGTATTCTAGGTGTGGTTTTACTAAGGCTTTATAAAGCGGTACTAACACTTCGTGTGATCTTTATTAGCTCCCTCTGTGAATGCAGCCTAGGATAGTGTTGGCTTTTTTGGTGGCTGCCAACACTGCTGATTCACATTTAAGTGCTTATCCACCAGGGCTCCTAGATCCCTATACAATACAATGCAATACAATAACAGAGTTAGAAGGTACCTTGGAGGTCTTCTAGTCCAACCCCCTGACTAGGCAGGAAATCCTATACCATTTCAGACAAATGGCTATCCAACATCTTTTTAAAGACTTCCAGTGTTGGGGCATTCACAACTTCTGGAGGCAAGTTGTTCCACTGATTAATTGTTCTAACTGTCAGGAAATTTCTCCTCAGTTCTAAGCTGCTTCTCTCCTTGATTAGTTTCCACCCATTGCTTCTTGTTTTACCCTCAGGTGCCTTGGAGAATAGTTTGACTCCCTCTTCTTTGGGGCAGCCCCTGAGATATTGGAAGACTGCTATCATGTCTCCCCTAGTCCTTACAATACAATGAAATACAATACAATAGCAGAGTTGGAAGGGACCTTGGAGGTCTTCTAGTCCAACCCCCTGCCTAGGCAGGAAACCCAATACCATTTCATACAAATAATTGTCCAATATCTTCTTAAAGGCTTCCAGTGTTGGGGCATTCACAACTTCTGGAGGCAAGTTGTTCCACTGATTAATTGTTCTAACTGTCAGGAAATTTCTCCTCAGTTCTAAGCTGCTTCTCTCCTTGATTAGTTTCCACCCATTGCTTCTTGTTTTACCCTCAGGTGCCTTGGAGAATAGTTTGACTCCCTCTTCTTTGGGGCA